TGACTGTCCCTATTACTTTTTTGACGTGCACATCGAAAATCAGGAGAGAAACTGTAGCCTACCTTGAAGTAATGTCTTGATATTTCATCGGTGAAGATATCGCGAACAGGGATGCAAACAATATCGTTTTTATAGACAACCATGAAAAACAGTTTTGAGAATACTTTGCACTCAACAAAAATCTAGCTTACTGTGGGGTTCTGAAAATTTCCTGCAACTCCTCGGAGAAATCCTCTTTCGGAGTCTCATCATGTTGTTTTATACGAGCGAGTCGCACAGCCTCTGTAGTGACCAAGATTTTCTCCGAATTTGGCATTGAGTTGTAGGATTTGATGCTCTGAGAAGAAATACAGTACTCCGCTTCCGCTTTATAAAGATATTTGCTACTTTTTTTGAAACAAAACTCACATCAACAATGAAGTCAGTGCCAGGAACACCACCAAACATATTATAGGCATCGTTTCGACCGATTTGAACAAAATTGGCAGGAACGGATGTCGACAGCGACAAGCGCATAAATCGTGAAGTTTGTTTATAGACATTCTGAAAAGGTTGATTTTTGATTACCTTGAAGAATTTAGCCTTTTTGAACAGAAAAATTTTGAGCAGCTCCCCATGCGTGCAAATAAACTTCATAAACTTTTTGATATGCCTTTGAAAGTGCGAAAACAATTGAATATTTTTCGAAACCGCAAAGTTGAGTGGAGTGCAAATAGAATTAATCTCGTTATTACACGGTACTTGAAACGAGCCTAAATTACCTGCCATGTTCGGTAAGTTACAGTTATCTCAACGATTTGATCAGCGACAATACCTCTAGCTAACCCTGTGATGGGGTGGACGACAGCGACTCTATAAAATGTATCATAATGATGGATTCTAGAAATACGCAAAAAAATTGTACCCTTGTTTTTCGGATGTGGTAATGAACAGCCGACATTTGCGCTGTTGCCATAGCAAATGACGTACACCGGCTGGTTTCAGTTTGGCCAAGAGAAGTTGGAAAATGTAACCAAGTAGAGATCTTCGCATTTATACACTAGCAGTTTATCTTGCGAGTTCTGGAATTCGTATGAGTGCTTCGGAAGTGTCCGGGCTTGTTTTTCAGCTGTTCCTTCATAAATGATTGAGACTAAGCTAATGAGCAATAAAAAGGCAAAATGCTACTTTGGAGCCTTTTTTAAATGGCCATTGCGCATAGCGGAAGGGTGGCCAAGCATAGTAGACTAAATTAAGTAAGCGGCTATTAGCTTGTTGGTCACAAAATGCTTCAAAAAACGTCAAAGACGCTGAAACGGAATGGAGAACTAGGAAGAGTGGCAGGAAGCCGAAA